CAGCTCCATCCAATGATTTGGTGGGAGTTACACACATGGATAGTAGAGTCACATGGAGACATTTCACTTCACCACACTCACAAACACCATAACTCAGATGCACCAAGTCTTTGGAAGGCAGTCTTATTCATTGTCCAACTTTCACATGAAAATATCATGGCTTAAGTCAGTCACACCTAAATCTTCAAAGTGACATCCTTGCTCTTCAATACATAAAAGAGGTCTTGTGCAGATTTGTCCAATGAGATATCATTTCATTTATTGGCTCCTGTTTACAGGAATGCTGATTATGGATCTGTGCAAAATGAAATCCTTGATAGCTGCAATCTTTTCTCTGTTTAGCATGATTTATAGCCCCAGAACTCCAAGAGGCAGTTCAACTCTGCTACAGGGTCAATAAGAGTTGGGAACTGATTTGATGGCAAGGAGTTTTTTGAAGAAATTATTTATTTTTCAATTTCCACTTTTCTTCATTTGAAATCATTTCTTGAAATGAAGTGGCTATTTATCCTTGTTTACTCATCAAAATCAGACCAATCCCAGCATACAAAATGTGATTCTATCTATTGCTTTTTGAGAAATAGCCAATCAACCATAAAGTGTACCTGCCACCAACAAGGACACCATTAGCCTCTCAACGCCAAAACTGACAACTTGGAAAACATACCAGAAGCATAGCCCAGTGCTTCCCCTTCCCACTAGCCTATCCAGGTGATACAGTTGAACAAATAGTTACTGAGCAATAGCTATGCTAGCTCTGGGCACACTAAAAAAAGAAAGAAAGAAAAACAAGACACAGTTTCTGACAGTTCCTTATGCAGATGTAGACATACAAGCAAAAAGGTAAACAATGTATGAATAATGTGATACATCAGTAATCAAAGGTTGGGCCTAAGAGCTGGATGGAGGCTAAGGCTGTAGAGTGGAAGGGTAAAGCACAGACGTACTGCCAACTACCCATACAATAGCTCCTCCCCTTTCTTCCTTTCCAATATTCCTTTCTTAGCTATATTTGGTGTGGCATCAGATTCTACTAATGACATCTCTTAGCCTCTCTTATAGCTGCACATGGTCAACACGATAAAAATATAAGTCACGAGGTGAGACTTCTGGGAAGGATCTTTAAAGGCTTTGACTGAATTGCAAAATGTACCCTTCTGGGTAAACCTCTTCCACACTGCATTCCTGCCCAGAAAGGATGTAGGAACAAAGGAAAAGCAGCCTGACACCGGGAGAATATTGGTGTTGCTGTAAAAATCCTGCTGCCAACAGTTATTTCACACGAGGGGCAAAAAAATCTGTTTAAAACACACACGTGTCTTTTCTGTTACATAGTCAATTCTCTGCTAGATAGAAAGGTGCTTCAAAAAGTCTGTGGAAAACTCCAATCTTCCCACAAATATATGAAGCCCCCTTGGACAAATGACACAATGTCAAGGTTATTTTAATGAAGAAGCAATGCACGTGAGAAGGATGGAAAAATGTTTACCAATCAAGCAAGACAAGGAAAGACATTGCATTGTGGTCAAAGAGGGTGCTGCATACAGGGTGTGTGTGGACGGAATGTGTGGCTGGTGGTGGCTAGGGTTGGGGGACAAGAGAGATGCCATGAGAGATCAGGCAGGAACCAGACAGAAAATACATTAGGAGCAGAACCATGAAGGTTGTCGAGCAGGGGACAGGATACTCACATGTGTATTTTATAGTTAAACTGTACAGGTTATATCAAAGGAAGAAGCACCTTCTACTGTTCAGAAGGGATAAAGTACCCGAGGGGTGACAGATTGGAAAATGACCTGAGGGAACTTTCTAGACTGAATGACAATGCTATCTTGATTGAGGTGTTGGTTACATGGGTATGTTATTTCTCAGAATGTTAACTTAAAGATGTGAGCAGTTTATGTTTCTAATTAGCTTTTTTTGTTTGTTTTGTTTTGTCTTAAGAGTACTCCAACTGGGATGTACAGTAGGTTGGAGAAACAGAGAAAGGGCTAATTAGAGAAACATCTACTCTCCACAACACTATTTTGTTATCTGATATTTCACATTTACAAGGATAGTAAAACATCTACTATCCAAGTAATTTGTGCATTCATGACATGCCTGGGAGTAGTGAACAAGGAGGCACAGGGGAGGATGACACTGGCTGTCACAGGTAAGTTAGGTGTCCATTGGGTGGGCCATGATTCTCAGTGGTCAGGCAGTTAGTTATGTCATGATGTCATTTTGCACAGTTATGTAATGGTGTGATTTTTTTTTTACAGTAATATATTTTGTAGTTCTGTAATGATGTAATTTGGAAGTCATATAATGAGGCGATTATCCTCTATCTTGTGATCTCAAGTGATTATCCTCCATTTTCACATAATGCCAGTTTTCACATAACAATGTGAAGCTTAGAACTTAACCATATTGATAAGTGAGAAGTAGGTGTACTTAGAAAGTAAAATAAACAGCACATGGTCATTAGCTAAAGCTGAGGGAGGAAAGAAACAAACATTAATCTTTACTGGTTCATGTTTCTATAAGAATTCTTTAGTTTATAGGCATGCTTTATGAACTAATTTAGACACCTTCAATAGAGTAACTATTTCTTTTACCTTTTTTGGTTTTGATTTACTTTTTATTCCTCCATTCCATCACTTTAAATTCTCTAAACATAGTGCTGAACAATGTGGTTAAAACACAGGTGCAATACTTTTTCTAAATACATGCAATATTTCTAAGATATGAAAGATTTATATATATGTTAAAAGGATATAACTAAAGAGCTATATGATTTTAAAAACAGATAACTGGTCTCCAAATAAAGAGTAACAGCATTAAATGTAAAGAAGAGTGCTACTAAACAAGTTTTGTGTTAGAATATAAATACCTTCTATGTTTACAGACAAAATCCAAGAACTGTTTTTTTTTAGATGAACTTATCACTAAAGACTCAAGTCCATTTTCAATTTCACTTTCCCCTCTTTTTTAAGCCACTCAAACTGCTACTTAGGTTTCCAGGATAAGTAATCTGGAGGAATTTGTTTGTTTTTTAAAGAAACATACTGTCTGTATTTACACAACTCATCTCAAGAAATGAAATCAACAAGATCCTATTAAACTCTTCAAGCGGGCATTAAAAAAAAACAAACTTCCCCTGCCTCTCCACCCACTTTTTCTCTCCATTTCCACCCTCTTCTCCAGAATTCCCAATACTTTTTTGTTTTTATTCTATAGTAATCAAGCTATGGCCTATTTTACCTTTCTGTGTGCAGTTATCTCTTATAAAAAAAAAGTCTAGCGTACTGCCTGAACAGGAGTCTACATATAAAGCCCAAAGCCATGGCTGTCAAGTTGATCTTGACTTACAAGGACTCTAGGGACAGCGGAGAACTGTTACTGGGGCTTTCCAAGAAGCCTCACCTTCTCCTGCACAGTGGCTAGAGGGCGGTGGTTCAAACTGCCAAGTTTTCCGGTGGGGTGGTAAACTCCAGCGTTTAACCCACGGCATCACCAGGACTCCTCTACATTATATTTTCAGCATTACAGTTTTTTTACTATAAAAAGCAGCTACACCTTCGCTGGTTTTCCATGTTTCCTAGTTCAATATATGCATTTACAATGTCCAATTAAATTTTTGTGTCTGATTCACCATGATGATATGTACTTGTATAGTAATAAAATTGTACATAGAGATTGGAGAAACAAAATATGGAACCGATATGCCACAGTTAACCAAAACTGAGCTTCTGTTTTCTTATCATATTTTCAGGCAAAAACAGAAGTCTTTCCTAAAGTATTTATTTTAGGACAAGATACTTCACATTAAAAAAGTCCCTCTCAGAAGAGCCACATGGAAGGGATGATAAATCCAGCGTGCAGTATAGCACCAATGAAGCACATAGCTATCCTCCAGTTCTTTAGTATTTCCTCCCCTTATCATTATGGTTTTTGTTTTACCTGATTAATCATGTTAGGACTGGTGTATGTTCATTTGTTTAACTAAGATCATTGGATACAAGAAAGCCAAGATAGATAACCCTTTAGAAACAGTAACAGGAGTAATGGCTCCCTGAGGGAATGGGAAGAGGGGTGGAGAGGAAGACAGCTGATAGATAGCATTGGTGACTGTATAACTTCACTGGAGGGAAGCGAACAACAGAATTGTACATAAATGAAGATATTGGATGGTGTAAGATGTGGTAAATAAATAAATAAGGTTCCTGGGGGGTAAGGTAGGAGAAGGGATTAAGGGACTCTGATATCAAGGAGTTTAAGAAGAAAGAACATATTTTGAAACTGTGACAGTAATTGTACAATACTGCTTGATGGGATTGAACTATGGAATGTTTTGTATCTGTAGGAGCTTCCAATAAAATGATAAAAAACCCAAAAGGTTAAGCATTAAAAACGAAGAAAAACTAATAGTTACATCAATTTGAGAAATATTTTATATCCTATCCTATTATCTTGGTGATTTCAATCTCTGAGAAGTCTTGCTGATGAAAAAATGACCATTAAAAAAAAAAATTGTATTTGACTTAGTGTTTCACAAACTCTGCCACTTGATCTACCTGGTGAGTACTACCTATTAAATCATGCAGGTAAACATGGATTCAAATGGGTGTCCTTTTCCTTTCCATCATCTTACCAAGGGTTCTTACCAACGCAGCATTCTCAAAATGACATCTCAGCCATGTAAACCACATTATCTCAAGGATGCACAAAATTAGCATCAATTCTTTTTTCTCAATAAAATATATCTAATATTGATATAACTATTAGAAAAAGTGACTTGGCCAAAATGTAAAGTTCTTAACCTAGTAACTAACACACTGTGGACTGTGACTATTCCACAAAGAAACAAAAAAAAGAAAGTGAAAACCAAATGAAATGGGATCAAGAGTCAAGAATGCAACACATTTTTAGTTGGCTATAGCATTTAAATCAATACCAGGTAAATTATCATCCATAATTCACGTACAAGATATAGTCGGGGCTGTAGTATTACTTACCAAGTCATAAATCTGGTTTGCCAATTGTACCTTCTCGTCTGCATCTTCCAAAGCTTTATAGTAATCCTGTATCAAACATTTTCATTTCAAGGGTAAATTAATACTTTTTAAAAATGTATATGCAGGATACAAAACTACCTATTTATCATTATTTTGTGAGACACTGTTATCACTAATCCAATTTTCAGTGATTATACATTAGCGATAAAAACCTAGTGACAGGTAGGAAGGGGTTAAGTGAAAAATCATAAATTATGGACATCGGCTAAGAATCAAAGACAAATGCTCAGAATTCCTAGCAAAAAAAACACAATTGGGGTAGCATTCCAAGTCTAGCCTACTTCCAAGTTAAAGCTACACGATCTAAGGAGGCTGTTTACCCAAAGTCACACAGTAGCCAAATGGCGGAGTCACGTTCACAACCAAATTCAAGTCTTTGAAGCTGCTCAGAGATCCCTGACGAAACCAGTTCATAATTTTAAAACCTTAGGGTGACCGCTGATGCATCTCTATTTTGGAAGAGTTATAGTCAACAAAACTCACTGCTACTGAGTAGATGGCAACTCATAGCAAGCTTGCAGGGCAGAGCAGAACTGCCCACTTGGATTTCAGAGTCTGGAAACCAGTTTTTGCCATAGCAGTTGGTCTTGCCTGGTGGGGGTGGGGGGTGGGGGAATGCTGGAAGAATCCATGAAGGCTACAAATGCATGCACTTACACTTTATTCTATATTATGGACTATATTACAAATATTTTTAATTGTCAAGGGGGCATGAGGAATTTTTTTTTCCCTCTGAAAAAAGGGCAGTAGCCCAAATAAGTTTGGGAACCTATACTACAAATCCTTATGG